CCAGCTAATTTTTGTCTTTGTTTTTGTTTTTGTTTTTGTTTTTAAAGTAGAGACAGGGTTTCATCATGTTGGCCAGCCTGGTCTCAAACTCCTGACCTCAGGTGATCCACCCACCTTGGCCTTTCAAAGTGCTAGGATTACAGTTGTGAACCACCATCCTGGCCTATATACAGATTTTTGTGCACATTTTAAATATAAGTAATATAATTGTATATAGCATATAGTCATAGGGTATGAATTTTATTTTATTACAGGCTCACGCCTGTTATCCCAGCACTTTGGGAGGCCAAGGCAGGCAGATCATGAGGTTAGGAGATTGAGACCATCTTGGCTGACACGGTGAAACCCCGTCTCTACTAAAAATACAAAAAAATTAGCTGGGCGTGGTGGCAGGTGCCTGTAGTCCCAGCTGATGGGGAAACTGAGGCAGGAGAATGGCGTGAACCCGGGAGGTGGACCTTGCAGTGAAGCGCTGAGTTCGCGCACTCGCACCTCCAGCCTTGGGTGACAGAGCAAGTACTCTGTCTCAAAAACAAAAACAAGGGGCCGGCGCCGGTGGGCTCAAGCTTGTAATGCCGCCATACTCCTTGGGAGGCCCCCCGAGACAGGTGGATCACGGGTCAGGAAGATTGAGACCCATCCTGGCTAAGCCACCGGTGAAACGCCCCTCTCTATACCCTAAAAAATACAAAAAAAACTAGGCCGGCGAGGTGGTGGGCGCCTGCTAGTCGCCAGCTACTCGGAGGCTGAGGGCAGGAGAAATGGCGTGAAGCGCCGGGAGGGGGCGGCAGCTTGCACGTGGACCTGAGATCGGCGGCCAACCTGCCCTCCAGCATGGGTGACCAGAGCGAGACTCAAGCGTCCCCAAAAAAAAAAAAAAAAAAAAAAAACCAAAAAAATTAGCCAGTGGTAGTGGCGCGGCGCCCTTGTAGTTTCCCAGCTACTCAGGAGGCTGAGCGGCAGAGCGAGAGAATGGTGTGACACCTGGGAGGACAGAGCTGCATTGAGCGCAAGATCGTGCCACTGCACTCCAGCCTGAGTGACAGAGCGAGACTCCGTCTCAGGAAAAAGAAAAAAAAAAAGTCTTTTTTGTAGAGATGAAATCTCCTATGTTGCCCAGACTAGTCTCAAGCTCCTGGCCTCAAGTGATCCTCCTGCCTCAGCCTCAGACGTGAGCCACTGCACCAGACTACTCTTGCCAATTTCATCTTTATTTGGAAGAAGGGTGTTGTGTGAACTCTTTGAGCATCTGGCTTCTGAGATTCCTTCAGATGATCGTAGGCTGCAGTGAGGGGCTTGTAGTCACTGCTGTGGAAGAGTCCTTCTTGTGAGCACACCACAGTGTGTTTATCTCTTCTGTTGTGTGGATACTGGGTTTTCTACTTTGAGGCTGTGGAGCAGGGATCTGCAGCCAGTGTGACTCAGCTCTGTTTCACATAGAACTGCCACGAACATTCCTATATGTATGAAATTCAGATTTAGGCCAGGTGTGGTGGCTCACGTCTGTAATCCCAGCACTCTGGGAGGCCAAGGCGGGCAGATCATGAGGTCAGGAGATTGAGACCATCCTGGTTAACATGGTGAAACCCCAAACCTGTCTCTACTAAAAAAACTAGCCGGGCGTGGGAGCACACGCCTGTAGTCCCAGCTACTCAGGAGGTTGAGGCAGGAGAATCGCTTGAACCTGGGAGGTGGAGGCTGCAGTGAACCGAGATCGTGCCACCATACTCCAGCCTGGGTGACAGAGACTCCATCTCAAAAATAAAACAAAAAAAAAAAGTCATATTTAAGATTGACAACTTGGGGGCTGGGCATGGTGGCTCATGCCTGTAATCCCAGCACCTTGGGAGGCCAAGATGGGAAGATCGCTTGAGCCCAGGAGTTCGAGACCAGCTCGGGCAACATAGGGAGACCCTGCCTTTATAAAAAAATTATAAAAAAAAAAAAAAAAAAAAGACAACGTGGATGCTTTGGGCCCTGGAGTGAATATATTTTAGTTCCTTCTCAAGGGTCATGCAACAGATGGGGTAGGTGAGTGAAACTGAAATTAAAAATTGCTTGTATTCTCAAGGCTAAATAAGACTAGGGAAAAAAGTTGCTTTTATAAATGGTCTTTTTTTTTTTTTTTTTTGAGACGGAGTCTCGCTCTGTCGCCCAGGCTGGAGTGCAGTGGCCGGATCTCAGCTCACTGCAAGCTCCGCCTCATGGGTTTGCGCCATTCTCCTGCCTCAGCCTCCCGAGTAGCTGGGACTACAGGCGCCCGCCACCTCGCCCGGCTAGTTTTTTGTATTTTTTTTAGTAGAGACGGGGTTTCACCGCATTAGCCAGGATGGTCTCGATCTCCTGACCTCGTGATCCGCCCGTCTCGGCCTCCCAAAGTGCTGGGATTACAGGCTTGAGCCACCGCGCCCGGCCTATAAATGGTCTTAATACGAGGTGTGGGTGAGTGAGTCTGTCTGTGTTTTCAGGGTAATAGAAGAAGCATTTTAAGAACACAGATTGGCCGGGTGCGGTAGCTCATGCCTGTAATCCCAGCACTTTGGGAGGTTGAGGAGGGCAGATCACGAGGTCAGGAGTTCGAGACAAGCCTGGCCAACATGGTGAAACCCCGTCTGTACTAAAAATACAAAAATTAGCTGGGCGTGGTGGCATGCGCCTGTAATCCCAGCTACTCTGGAGGCGGAGGCAGGAGACTCACTTAAACCCGGGAGGCAGAGGTTGCAGTGAGCTGAGATTGTACCACTGTACTCCAGCCTTGGCAACAAGAGTGAAACTCCATCTCGGGGGGGAAAAAAAAAAGCACAGATAAGGCAGTACTTCATTGTGGGTTATTGTGAGTGCATTTTATCGGTGCAGATATGCTGCTGTGATTTGGGGAGGCCTGGCCTTCTCAGCCTTCACAGAGCTGTTTGGTTTTTCACTTGTAGCTAACTTTCCATTTCTTTCTTTTCTGTTTTCTTTTCCAGGCTGAAAAGTCTTCCGCTAAGAAGGCAGTAATTGAATGCTGCACTGGCTCGTCCTAGAATCATTTCTCCTCCATGATGGAAGCCCAGTGATTGTCCAATTAACGCATTGTACAGAGTGTATTTATATGTAAATTCCTGCTGTAAAATAATCTTTAAAACCTTGACGTTTCAAAGACTGCCTTGAAAGGTCGTAGAAATTGATTTCTATTTTTAATTTCAGTTAGTGTCAGGGGAAAAAAAATCCAGACTGAACAGTTTAATTAAAGTGGAATTTTTCTATTTTCTTCGTGATTTTTAAAAAATTTCCTGGGATGTTAAAAAAGAAGTTAAAAGTGAAGGCTTCTCTCTGGTTTTGTGATGAAGACAGTCTGGACTCACTGAAGGACAAGTGTGTGTGAGGGGGCGGTTGCGGCCCCTCCTGCCGTTTCTTGGGAATGAAGCTCTTCCCTCTTTGGGTGACTGGTTTGCTGCTGGTACCCGGGAAGCCCCATGGGAGGGCAGAGCCAGAGCCTGGCAGGGGGCCTCATCCTCTCAGGGTAGATGTCACTAAAGTGTCTGAGACAGGCAGGGAAACCAGGTGGGAGAATGTACACCCACAGCCTGGGTTGCATGGCTGCAGCTCCCTGCTCTGAGGCCATTTCATGTGCACCAAGGAGACCTTTTCCAAAAATAAAGTGCAGACCAGGTGTGGTGGCTCATGCCTGTAATCCTAGAGCTTTGGGAGGCCGAGGCAGGAGGATGGCTTGAGCCCAGGAATTCCAGACCAGCCTGAGCCACATAGAGACCCTTGTCTCCACAAAAAATAAAGTACTGAGCCTTTGTGTTTTACATTATGAAAGTAGCATCATAGATCACAACAATTTTAAAAGCAGAAAGAAGGAAGAGGCCGGGTGTGGTGGCCCATGCTTGTAATCCCAGTGCTTTGGGAGGCCGAGGCCAGCGGATCACTTGACACCAGGAGTTCGAAAACAGCCTGGCCAGCATGGTGAAACCTTGTCTCTACTAAAAATACAAAAAAAAAAAAAAAAAAAAATTAGCCAGATCTGTGGAGCATACGCCTGTGATCCCAGCTGTGTGGGAGGCTGAGGCACAAGAATCCCTTGAACCCTGGAGGTGGAGGTTGCAGTGAGCCGAAATTACACCACTGCACTCCAGCCTGAGTGACACAGAGACTCTTATCTACACACACACACACGAAGAAAATCACTTTTTTATCATCCAAAGATGACACCCTTCAATATCTTGAATCACTCCACCCTGTCCTTTTCTAGCTATGGGGCTGTCATCTGACTGGTGGTAGCATTTTATTCCCTGTTACTGTTGTTGGGGTTGTGACAGATACTTCCCTCATGCTATTATAAATGTTGCAAACCCGCCCCTAATAACTATCTTATTTCGTGCAGGGGCTACCCCATAAATTATTGACCTTTTCTGTTTTGACCTGAAGTGGGCTGGCCAGGAGCTGTACCCAGGCAGAGGACATGAAGAAATTGCCCTGTGACGGAGTCAGGGAAACCACAGGGGAGGGCTGGAGGCTGGGGCACTGGTGTTGCTGGCTGGGCCTGGTTCCCAGAATGCAAAGCCCATTTTTCTTTTTTTTGCAACCTCCGCCTCCTGGGTTCAAGCCATTCTCCTGCCTCAGCCTTCCATGTAGCTGGAATTACAGGCGCACGCCCCCGTGTCCGGCTAATTTTTGTATTTATTTTATTTTATTTTTTTTAGTAGAGACGGGGTTTCACTAAACCCTGCCAGGCTGGTCTCAAACTCCTGACCTCAGGTGATCCGCCCGCCTCGGCATCCCAAAGTGCCAGGATTATGGGCATGAGCCACCGCGCCCAGCTGCAAAGCGCATTTTTCTATGGGTAATCTGTGCTGCGCGGGGTGGCACCATATTTCACCCAGCGGGTGAGGAGGCAGCGAAGTTGCGGGCCCAGCGTAGCGCGCGCCTCCTAAGTGCTTGGTGGAGGCGCGGGCGCGCGGCGCCACCGTTCCCATCTAGGCTTGCGGGCGGCCACCGGCGGGCAGGGCTTCGAGATGGCCTCGCCGCGGCGGTGCTCCCCGACAGCCCCGGACAGGGAATGCAAGTTGCCGCCACCCTCGGCCCCTGCCGGCGAGTATCCTCCCGGCAAGCTGTCCTGGGGAACCGTGGCGAGGGCCTTAGGCCGCTTCAGGCTGTCGATCCCGCACACGCGCCTGCTGGCCACCCTCGACCCCCTGGCCTTGGACAGGGAACCACCGCTGCAGCTGTCGCCTGAGAAGCAGCAGATGCCGGAGAAATTGATTTGGGGCGACCAGGAGCCTCTCTCCAAGGTCAGAACCACCGCGAGGGACAGTGGCCTGTTCCCCACACGTGAGGAAGGCGCTCGGGCTGTCGGGGGAACCCATGGAAAACCCACCTGGCTTCACCAGGGCCTCCAGAGAGTCCCTAGGCCCATTCCCCCATCTGTGGTACATCAGTGGGAAAAGGTCAGACAGCCGAGCAGGGCCTGCTGGAGATGCTGGCGGGGGCTCCCTGCACTGCCACCTGCTGGGGAACCAGGACTCTTGGCTGGCAAGAGGCTCTGCGCCTCCATGTGCACCCTGACCCCACCTAGACCTTACAGTCTCCGTAGGGCCATCCAGAGTGATGCTCCTAATTGCAGCCCAAGGGTGGGTGGCTCAGCTCTCCCCCTCCAGGAGATAGAGTTAGCGTCAGAAGAAACGGGAAACTCAGAATAATAATTAATAATAACAACAATGAATTGGGCCAGGCAAAGTGACTCACAACTGTAATCCCAGCCGTTTGGGAGGCCCAGGTGGGAGGATCACTTGAGCCCAGGAGTTTGAGACCAGCCTGGGCAACATAGTGAGAGGTCATCTCTACAAAAAATAAACTTAGCCCAGTGTGATGGGGCGCACTTGTGTTCCCAGCCGCTTGAAAGGCTGAGGCAGGAGGATCCCTTGAACCCAGGAGTTTAAGGCTGCAATGAGCTATGATTGCATCCACTGCACCTCCAGCCATGGCAACGAGTGAGACTCTGTCTCCATAATAATATATATATATATGCGATAATATATAATAATATATATATAGTAGAAGAGAGAGAGAGAGGAGAAAAAACTGGCTGGTTGTGGTGGCTTCATGCCTGTAATCCAGCACTTTGGGAGCTAGAATGAGCACTGTGAGCAGGGGTTTGAGACCACGCCCTGGCCAACAATGGTGAAACACCTTTCTCTACTAAAATGCCAAAATTTACTGGGCGTTGTGGTGGTTGCCTGCTAATCCAGCCTAACTAGAGGAGGCTGCGGCGGGAGGATCACTTGAACCCAGGAGGCATAGGTTGCAGTGAGCCAAGATCATCTCACTCCGTCTCAAAAACAAAACAAAACAAAAACCCAATAAAGAACATTCTCAGTAAGTAGCGTTTCACGCTTGGCCTTGATTTAGTGCACTCACATGTAGATGTCAGAGTGTGTTTTTAGTAATTTCCTCGAAATCTCTGCCTGGCTTCCCAACGTGTTTAAGATGAAGTCTGATGATCAGCCTGTGGCCTTCCAGGCCATTTCAAATCTGGCACCTCTCCATGTTCTCCTCCCCAGTCCCCCTGTCTTGCTGACCTACAAGCAGATCTGGCTTCAGGGCTCTTGGCGGGTCCCTGCCTCCATGGTATTGTGCTCTTGGGGAGGCCCTCCCTGACTGCCCGTCTAAAGTAGCCGGGGCCACTGTCTCCTCTGTGCCTCTTGCCATGGCCTGACATCCCCGTTTCATCCTCAAGGTGTCATCTGCTGCCAGCAACTGACACTTCAAAGTTGGAGACTTCGCTCCTAGGTGGCTGCTGAGTGGCAGCATCAGGTCCAGGCCCCATGGGGGAGGAGGAGGCTCTCTAGGTTTATCTGTGGAATACGTGAATGAATGCTACACATAGAAGAAGCGTTTTGTTTTAGCCCAAATTCTCTGTCCTCTGCATGAGCTTGAACCACCCCTCTTGGCTCAAGAATCTTTAAAACATTCCATTTTTTTCCAAGTTGGTTTACTGCAAGTGTTTTAAGAAATAGAATTAACTGTTGTACATTGATCTTGTGTCCTTGCAATTATGTTAACCATCTGCGTCTTCCTTTTCTAGACCCATTAATAATTCTGACGTTGGGCACGAGCATCGCTGTGAGCCACTACCTTCCTGCGTGTGATGACACCAAAGCTCCTCCAGTGGCCTCCATGACTGCACTGCTGGAAGCTGTGGGTAGGTGGCCCACTGCAGCGCTGCTCCCCGGAGCAAAAACCCGTTTCTTAAGCTTAGGCACCTCGCCATGGTCGAGTTCCCCAGCACTAAACTCGGCAGTCGCACATTGTGTGGTCGCTCGGTTTGCGGCTTTCTGACGCAAGAGTGCCAGAAGGAGGGACAGGTGAGATCCCAGCCTGATGAAAGTTAGGGGTGGCTGCTGCCAGCTGTCTGTGGGCCTGAAACAGTGGGAATGGGATGGAGACCTCTGGACTGAGACCGCCAACTTTTTTGTTTTGAGAAGGGGTTTGATCTTGTTGCCCAGGCTGGAGGTGCGCCATTGGTGTGATCTCGGCTCACGGCAACCTCCGCCTACTGGGATTCAGACCATTCTGCCTCCGCCCTCCCAAGTAAGCTGGGATTACCATGTAGCTGGGAATTACCAGGGCATGGTGCCCACCACACACCAGCTAATTTTTTTTTTTTTTTTTTTTAGTAGAGATCGGGTTTCACCATGGTGGTCAGGCTGTCTGTTGAACCTGACTTCAGGTGAGTCCACACCACCTCGGCCTCCCCAAAGGTGCTGGATTACGCAGGCGTGAGCCACGGCGCTGGCCTCTGTTTTTTTTTTTTTTTGAGACCGAGTTTCGTTTCTGTCGCCCAGGCTGGAAGTATCATGGCGTGATCTCAGTTCACTGCAACCACTGCCGTCCCAGTGTTCAAGTGGACTGTCCTGCCTCAGCCTCCTGAGTAGCTAGAGGCCTACAGGTGTGTGGCACTACTCCTGGCTGATTTATATTTTTTTAGTAGAGACAGTTTTAACCCATGTACGCCAGGCTTAGTCTTGAAATCCTGACTTCAGATGATCCACCTACCTGCCGGCTCTCCAAAGTGCAGGGAGACAGGTGTAAGGCCCACATGCTGCCACAACTTTTCTTTCTTTTTCTTTTTCTTTTTGTTTTTTTTTTTGAGACAGAGCTATGCTCTGTCGCGCCAGCTGGAGTATGTAGTGGTGCGATCTCGTTCGCACTACCAATTTTCGGCCTTGCTGGGTTCAAGTGTTCTCCTGCCTGCAGCTCCGCTAGTACTGGGAATACAGAGGCATGCCACCATCGCCCGAGCTAA